CAACGATCAAACGTTCATAGTTTATTTTCATCGGTGGAGAAACGTGAATCATCACCTGAAACTGAAATAACTGAAAATGTGATGTTGGCTACTAATTCAGTGGGTGAACCTGTATTCTCATTAAGAAATCCTGAAGAATATAGAGGTCCAGAGATCGTACAACGATCATTAAAAGGTAAACTCGTTGAAGACTCTATAATTAATATTGAAGATAGTTTATTTGAAAATATGAGTAGTAATGAAGCGGGTGGAAGTGGAATAATAGAGGATGTACATGGTGGTGTATATGGTGTATATGGTGATGGTGGAAGGAAGAGTAGTTCATCGAAACATTTGAGTAATATGGGTGTTATTGGAAATACGGATGAATTATTATTTGATGAAGAAAATATAGATTCGTAATATAATAAAATAACATCAAAAATTTACACAACTTTTTATAAGTTAAAAAAAATATTGTAAGATTTGTAGTAAGTTTTAGATATCAATTTATTCTGTATAACGTGTTTTGAGTTATAAATGTCCAAGATGTAAATTTTTCGTTTTTCTTCAAAACCTATTTAATGAATTACTATCTAGCTTTTAGACTATATAGATGTAGTGTCAAACCTATAAGTCAACTTAATTGGTGTTTTTGATTTTCACCTCGAGTACTGAATGCAGTACTCTACGGCATTAATATTCATTTACAACCAAATACAAATCAAAACTATTCAATTATATGTTTTTCAAACTTTAATAACAGTTTTACTCTTTTGTTTATTGGTAAATCTTTGATAATAGTAATAGTTATTACCGTTACGGTTATTTGGAGATCATTGAGTCAAACATAGCCACCAAAATCTTATATCCGAGCTTTTTTTGATGGTGATGCTGTGGAAGAGTTATAATGGTCATCAGGAATCGAAAATTCCCATTCTTGAGATCCTAAAATTAAACAATAATTAAACCTTTTATCAAGTAACTAAAAACTGGATATAATAAGCGTAATTATTTACCAGGAATTTGTGCCAATTTTGCAGACAAAGAATTAATTGGCACAGAAAGGCTTTTAAAATTAAGCAGTTTACTTGTAAGTTTATCTTTAGGGAAAATTGGCAATTCGGTCGATAACGTTGGAATAATTGCATCTGCAGACTGGAACGCTTTTAATAATGCTAATTCATTTTTATCTTCTGAAATGCTATCATCTAATATCCGATACCATTTCCATAATTCTTTATGGATATTAGATGCAGTTGGTCTATTAAAAGGATTAGCATCCATACAATGATTTGCTAATTTGATATAGCATTCAGGAGTGCCTTTAGCAAATTCAGGACGTAATCCATTACAACATATTTTAATAGCTAATGCTTCATCATACTCAACATCATAATGAGGAGGTCTTCCCGTAGACATCTCGGTCATAATAATCCCAAAACTATAAATGTCAGCAGCTATTGTATATGGGTGTTTAAGTAACACTTCTGGCGCAACGTAAGGTAAAACGCCATAAATACAATCTTCTAAATCAGACTCATCCTTCTTTCTAGATAATCCTAGATCTGCAATATAAGATATTAGATCACCGCTAATATGTTGATTTAACAGTATATTACCGCTATGAAGATCCCCATGAACATATTCTGATTCATGAACCTTTGCTAGATTTTCAGATATATCCACAAGCTGCTTTAATTTACTTTTCCAGTTAAGATCTCTAAAATTTGAAGATAGGAAATTATGAAGGCTTCCCTTATTTGCATATTGAAATACCATCAAATATTCGTTATTAGTTGTTTCTTGAGTTAGTCCATATACTTCAAGATCATTACCAACTAATCTAAATTCTATATAATTTTTAAACTTGTTAAAATTTATAATGTTAATAATTTATATATAATTATCTGTATTAGATATAAATAAATTATTTCAACTTACTTCTCTTAAAAAATTCTTTTGTGAACCAGGTAAAGTTTTAAGGGCAACTACATATGATGATGTACGTGATTGTACGTACTCAAAATCCGAACCTGAAACTATTCTTTTACCATCTAACCACGTTGCTGAAAACACCGAGCCAAATCCCCCTTTACCAATGATTTGAACATTAATTAATCTATTAAAAGGAATCCATTCGATTACATTTTTATAAGATGAGGCTTTAAGTTGAAATTCTTTAATACAATCATCAACATCCTTATTTCCGCTTGTCCATCCTTGTGTTATTTTCTGAGGATCACATGATTGACACCAAGCTCTAGATGTGTTATATCGGTTGCAATTTGCACATTTTCCATTATACACAGATCTTTTAGAGTCAAATTCATCAAATACTAATATATACTCATTTGCTGCGATGTTCTGAGTTAGACCATATACTTTAAAACCTATCCTTTAACTGTACATTATCTATAAACTTATTAAACATGCAAGTATTAGAACTATATATTGTATAACAATGAGAAATGATTAAATGGCTATACATGTGTGCCTAAATTATTTTTGAAAAAAAGTATTTTCGGCAAACATTTCGGCATTGCTAAATTTTTTATATTAAACCTTCCGAAATAACTATACTATATGATGTATTCTGATGAAAAGAGTTCAAAAAATTTCGGCAATAATTTCGGCAAATATGAAATTAATTTCGGCACTAATTTCGGCTGCCTAAATGCCGTAATTACTTTTTTATTAAGATGGGCAATTTAGGCACACATGTATATAAATGGCGCTGCCAGGAAAAATCACACTTCGGGATTTAACTTTATTATTTACAATACCAGACTAAGTCTGATTGTGCCCGGTAAATTAGTAATAAAAATACGCCGTGATCTTGATACAAGTGTTGCAACACTCATCTAATAGTCGGTCATTTTAAATTTAAAAGCCCAAAGCGTGGTTTTCCCTTGGCAATACCAAGTATTTTAACTTACTTCTCTTAACTTATCTAATAAATTTTGTGATCTAAATATTTTAAGCTCCACTTTATATGATGGCATACGTGACTGTGTATATTTAACTTCATTAACTACATATTTTGCATATCGTATTCCATCCAACCAAGTTGCAAAAAATTTATCACCAATGTTTTGAATATCAGTTAATCTCTTAAAAGGAATCCATTCGATTACTTCTTCATATTTCGTAGCTTTAAGTTGAAATTCTTTAATGCAACTATCGATATCCTTATTTCCACTTGTCCATCCTTGTGTTGTCTTCCAAGGGTCACATGTTTGACACCAAGCATAAGATGTGTTATATCGTTTGCAATTTGCACATTCTCCATGTTCATAATTTCTTTTAGAACCAAATTCATCAAATATTAACATATATTCGTTTGTGATTGTGTTTTGAGTTAACCCATAGACACGTTCACTATCTAACTGTACATAATTTTTAAACTTGTAAATATATAAATTATATCAATTAAAATATACACACTATAAATTAATTGCACATAAAAAAATAATATAAACTCACTTCTTTTAAAATATTTTGAATATTTAATGATTTAGTTAATGGTTTAAGCTCCACTTTATATGATGGTATACGTGACTGTGTATAATACACGCGATCCTTTTTTACATACCGTATTCCATCTAACCAAGTTGCTAAATATTTATCACCAATGCTTTGAATATTAACTAATTTATTAAAAGGAATCCACTCAACTACATTTTCGTATTTTGTAGCTTTAAATTGAAATTCTTTAATACAATTATCGATATCATTATTTCCACTTGTCCATCCTTGTGTTGTCTTCCAAGGGTCACATGTTTGACACCAAGTTTGCCATGTGTTATATCGATTGCAATTTGCACATTCTCCGTAACCTCCATATCTTTTAGAACCAAATTCATCAAATACTAACATATATTCGTTTGTGGACGTATTGTGAGTTAATCCATAGACATATTTACTCTCTAATAGTAAGTGATTTATAAACTTTAAAATATATAAAATATATAAGTAGAAATAATTGTTTTGTAAATAGGATTGCAAAATTTTGAAATCTGCGGATCACAGTAGAGAAATTCTAACATTCACAATATTTTATGTAATAGATATCTGTTCAGACCCTAAAGTCCTCCAATTTAGATTTTTAATGTTTTTACAATACATAGTTGATTAATCCGATTTAATGATCTGCAAATTTCTCAAAATTTTGCCAACCGCAATAAAAACAAAAACCAGTATTTTAAGTTTACACATAAGCGTATTGTATACGGGTATTAACTTCAAGTCCATGTAACACAGTAAACTTCACTAAGCTTAGGGTAAGGTAGGTTTAGGGCGACAGCTTATACTAAAATTTCACTCAATCGATTTTTTAAGATATGGGCTAGGTGCTGAGAAAAGGGATGAAATTGACAATTTTAAAAAAATTTTTTTTGAGATTAACTAATCTAAATTATTTTTTTACTTGGGATTATCTTAATAAAATTTTGCAGTATAATTCCTTAAAGTTTTTATTTTCTTATAATTTATTATAGAATTTATAATTTAAACAATTTTCCGCAAAATTTCTTGTCAATTTCGTCCCTTTTCTCAGCGCCAAGCCCATATAACGATGACCAATTTTTTAAGGATCTTGCATTCTGATTGGCTTTTCTATATATCCGTGTACATACACGTAGTGTACAATTTAACTTACTTCTTTTAATATATCTATTAAATTTTGTGATATAGTCAAGATTTTAAGCTCCACTTTATATGATGGTATACGTGACTGTATACATTTATCACCATATTTATCTTTTATAGATCGTATTCCATCCAACCAAGTTGCTAAAAATTTATCACCAAGGTTTTGAATATTAACTAATCTATTAAAAGAAATCCATTCGATTATGTCTTCATAAGATGTAGCTTTAAGTTGAAATTCTTTAATGCAATTATCGATCTCTTTATTTCCACTTGTCCATCCTTGTGTTGTTTTCTGAGGGTCACATGTTTGACACCAAGCTTTAGATGTGTTATATCGATTGCAATTTGCACATTCTCCATGCTCATAATTTCTTTTAGAACCAAATTCATCAAATACTAACTCATATTCATTTGTTTCGTTATTTTGAGTTAGGCCATATACCTTAAACCCGCTATCCTTTAGTTGTACATAATCTACAAACTTATTAAACATAAAAATAAAGCTATATATATATTGCGTAACATCCATAATTTAAATAAATTATTAAATATTTTAACTTACTTCTTCTAATATATCTAATAAATTTTGTGTTCTAAATATTTTAAGCTCCACTTTATATGATGGTATACGTGACTGTGTATATTTATATCTAAGTACGTCTTCATTTTTTACATATCGTATTCCATCTAACCAAGTAGCTAAAAATTTATCGCCAATGTTTTGAATATTAACTAATCTATTAAAAGGAATCCACTCGATTACATCTTCA